TCCGAACTCGGCCGCACGGCCACCCCGTCGGTTCGACCGCCCGAACGGCCACGGAACGACCGCGAGGTTGTGGTGCGGGAACTACGTCTTGCAGGAAGTGGGCTACGATGAGACCGCTTCGAAGGTGAGTGGGGACCGGGGTAAGCCGGTCAAGACCGGAGCGCATGCGGCTCTGGGATTGGGAGAAACTCCAGAGGGGTAGAAGGACGGTGGTGAGGACGTGAGGACTGGGTCTTTCACAAGAACTCGATCAGCAAGGTGTGGTGAACCAAGAATAAAATGGGATGAGTCTTCCCGCCCAAATCGGTGCAAATCTGCGGGAGGGGGTGGAGAGAATGTTCAGAAGACCAGCTCTTTGAACCCAGAGGTGCTATAGACTTCGAGGATTCTTTGTTTAAGCTCCTTTTCATCCCTTTCATCCACCTGATCGTTGAGGCGTTCACCAGCTCTTTGCCGCCGACCTGTTTGGCTTGGCGCACGACCAAGTGGCAGCTTCTGGGCGAGGTATTGGTTGGTCGGCGAGCGGAACGAAGGGGATGTTTGGAACGAAGCGAAAGGAGAAGGTCAGGAAGAAAACAGGAAGTAAAAGAAAAAGGAGAGGCAGGAAGACGGAGACGGAGACGGAGACGGAGACGAAGACGAAGAAGAAGAAGAAGAAGAAGAAGAAGAAGAAGAAGAAGCTGAAGCTGAAGCTGAAGCTGAGCAAGAGTAAGAGTAAGAGTGAAAAAATGGGAGAGGCGTCGAGCATAGTGTTGTCCCCACGCATCCCTACATCGTGTGCACTGGACCGTGCGCTGGACCTACAAAGCCTGGAACTTCTCCTACATGTCATGTGCACAAGTCTCAATACCAGCTGCTTCCAAAGGTGTCACCAATGGATATCTCCACACTACTTACGGGTCTCCATTGGGCACCCCTTGGAAGCGCTAGGTATGTTGTTTTTCTTCCGCACACTGAGGATCTCCATTTGGCAACGAGTGGAGGATACACAGCCTGACAGGTGAGCGAGCAGGTGAGCATGCGACTTTTGAACACGTGGGGAGGTGGTGGGGAGGTTTGTCCGAAGTTAAAACCATCAATTTGTGTGTTCGATTATCAGAGGATTTCTGACAAAATCAGAGGTGCCAAGGGGGGGGAGGACCAGCCCCGAAGCCTATTCGGGAATGAGATCCCATTCTGTTTGAATTTGCTTGGACAGAGGGGTCATGTAACCATACCTAATACCTTTTTATGCAAAGCTTGTGGAGCGGATGGCAGCAAAGGGGCGAATGAACCCAAATTAAGTGGCTGCTCTGCTGTTTCTCATATCCGGGCCCTTTCTTTTACAACACGAAATCACGAGATGCATGCAGTAGACCTCTGAAGTCGTTCTAGCTGAGAAGAAGCAAGTGTTCAGCTCGGTTGATGATGGGAAAGGCCACCCCGTAACAACGCCGACAAGCTGTGAACTTCTCTGATTTCGCAATGAAAAAAGCAAGAGCTGATTGCAGGTTTCGCAATGAAAAAGCGGATGTAGCTGGGCAAACGTGGGATCCCCCTCGCCACACTGACAATCCTGCATACTCGGCAGTGCCGGACCAATGCGGGTCATCAAAACCGTGTACAGTAATTCATGCGGGCGGGCAGAGTGGAGGTGCCTCCCAAGTGACCCCCTCACCAATCACTCACTCAGGTTGTTTCATGCTTTTTCTCCTTTTGATACATGTCTGAGGAAGAGTGTGATTCATTTCAAAAAGGGACACCAAGAAATGACCACATCTTTTTTCCCAACGTGGTGACATTGTGACTATTGGTTATTTAATGTTATTTATGATGCGGAGTACGTCCATTGCACACTTTGTGGCAGAGTGGTGTCTTATAGGCCTTTGGGCCTTTCCCCTTGATTTGAAGAGCGAGCTGCTGTTCTTCTGTTCCCATAGACAGGCAGGGACACCAGAAAACAGCTACAACTGCAGCCAATTGACCCGCATTCGTCTGTAGGAAACCACACGTCCCAGCCCGTGTTTGAGCCGTTCTCAGACCGTTCGGAACGGAGGTTCACTCCGTTCCGTTCCGCCGAAACCGAAACCGCGCGAAGTTCACTTCACTCCGAGCGTGCTGAGAAGAGAGAACTCTGGAGTTCCGAATCTGTGCCCAAAACGTTTTGAGTTATACTCCCGAAAACTAACATAGACCCTGACAGTGGCCCTCTGGAAGAGTGTTTTCCTCTACCAACCAGTGGTTTTCAGGGTCCATGTTAGTTTTCCAGAGTGTATGTTATGACCTGGGGTGAACTGGGTCATTTTGGGCCACACGATGGCCATTTCTGAAAAAAGGGACCCCAAGACTCTTGAGCTGCTTGACTTGCCGTATCGAACGACGAAAAAGGCGTCCACCTAAGAACCTCCAGACCCACGAGAGGAGCGGCCACCGGCCTTCGCCCGCCCCATCGCCGACATCGTCTCAGTGGAGAACCGGGTTGAGATGGAAAGCGGTCAATCGCTTCCGATTGCAACGAACAGTTCGAACACTGCTCGACATCGTGCGGTAATGATGCTGAAACTGCTGAAAACAACATTATAGGCTACCGCAAAATGGTTGCTGCTTCTGTGCTCTTCGTCTTTTGTTGGACATTTCTTGGCCGCAGGAGAGGGATTCGGGCGAGGCTTTCCATCAAGCCCGCAATGGTACAGACACTTCTTAAGTGAGACTCGGGGACTCCAGTCTTGAAGCAACGTCTACTGGATCAGGACCGTGGTGCCTTACCACCAATGATTGCTTCCTGAAACGTGGTTGCTTCCTGATTCGACTGAAACTGACTTCGACTCCAGGCTCGGTGACCCTTCCAGTTTTAGGGTCAAACCCCTTCAGTTTTTTCGCTAGCCTATACCCTAGAAGTCCAAAGACTTTGACCAACTGACGTAAAGGAAGCTCCTTTTGAGGTCACCCAAAGACTATATTCTTTTTATAGTCTCTGACTCCCAGGGTACAGAGATCTTCTCTTTAACAAGTGGCCAAAGATCGAAAGGGGGGGGTGAAACCATCACCAACCCCAGGACCGCTCGACGACTGGGCCGATTCCGACGACGTAGACCTCTCGAGCCGATTCTGAGCTGGGCCCTTCATGGAACGTGTGCGTTTTGCATCGTTTGGCGTGAAACACGAGGAGAGTTTCCGGATCACCAAGGGTTCTGGAAACTGGAACTGCAGGTCCAAAGCCTGTTTCAAGGATGACGTCAAGTCATTCCAAGTGCCAATTCTTTTGCAGTTGCCGAGTCTCGCACGTCATCGCTGACGAGTAAAGGACTGGCCCCTGACGCCCCAGCCCGACCACGCTCCGTTTGAAAAGGGGCGTGGTGACTCCAGGTTCCACGCCGCACAGGAAATGCCGCTGGTAGCGAGCGATTTGTGGATTGGAAAAGATATGAGCAAACCCCACCATGGGCGATCGTTGCATTCAACGTCACTCATGACCACTCATGACTGCATATGTCAAAATATTTGCTTTGAAATATTTTGTTTTGCATACCTGGACCATCCTGTCGGGGTGTCCAATAGAAATCCAGTCTGTATAGGGTATTCCATTGGGCACCACAGGATGGTCCAGGTAGGTTCAGATTTCGTATGAAAGACATACTGCATGTGCAGTGTTTGTCGAGTGAGACTGCGACAGCTGTCGAAACACCTTGGGAACAGTCGAACGAGGTTCTCAGGGGAGAGAAGAAACACATAAGTACCACTTTGCATCGCCCAGTGCTAAGGGGCATGCCGCATGCCCATTTCCGTAAGTATTTACAGTACATGAGGTATCCCTATCAGTTTACCCGGTTGACTCTGTGTTCGTTCGACTGCAGTGTGCCAGGTTCGGTGTACGAAAGATTCAGCACCAAAGACCCCTTGTGGCCTCTTGTCCTGTGCGAAGCTCGGGGTTTTCATCAGGCAAAGCTGGTTTCAACAAATAAGGTAGATTGGGAGGCACTTCCTGCTTTCAATATGCTAGACAAAGGATCACACGCTGCACCCTGCAATGCAATTTGCGAGTAGATGAGTAGATGGGTCCTTCTCCAAAAGGATCTACTGGTTTGCCATCTATTTACTTTAAAACGCATCTGATTGCCACACGTAAGATGGTAGCCACAGCATTTGAGCGCCTTGAATAAAGGTTGAATTGGGTGGATTTCGAGGGGAAATGTTTTGGCTTGGCGCCTTATATTCCAGAACAATGATTAGGTGATAAACCAGTCCACATCACCGACCGCAAGTAGCCGTTGTCTTGCTTTGTTTCGTTTTCGCCATGCGACATCACACGATTCCCACCACCTCATTTGTTGCGGTGTTTGTGACCTCGTGGGACCATGGCAGCCGTTTTCGCCGGCCAAAAAATGCCGGCACTGCGCCAATTGTACACAGAAGTGATGTCGACGGACTCGAATCTCGTCCGTCAGAAGGGTCGACTCGGACAATCGAGCACAGCTTGGCAGTCGATGTTCTTTTCGATTCATCCGCAGTCTAAGGATCCAGCTGGGCTGCTGGGGCCTGTTCTTTTTTTTGGCATGATGAATGTCCAAAGGAGCCATCTTCAAAACATCTCAGAGTACATTCATTTGCACAACATGTTGATAAGAATCACGCTCAGTAGGTATAGGGACTGCTGTTTTCGTTTGGCATGTGCCCCGTGGCCAGGCCCTGCAAGCCGGGTCCTAGATTTGTAGCTGACGGTGGTTTCTAAGGGATGGGAGGCCACCACCTCCCGCGGGCGACGCCTGTGCCGTGCAGATCCGTGGCACGCGCCGTGCTGCGGCAGAGACGACTGGACTGCGTGAGCAAATGGCGGCGTGGCAGACGGGCGGGCGAAGTTACAACCAACAGCCAAAGGTCAAGGGTGGGTTGATGTGATTTTGTGGCCATGAAGTGGCCTGAAGAGGCCACATCTTGTTTTAGCTCATTTTAGCATCAGATTACAATTTTAGCCTCAAACGTGCAGGAGAAGTGGAGTCGTTGGTTTTGTCTCCTCGCGCCAGATGGGCCCAAGACCTTTGGTCTTCTTGATTCGCCTACGAGATCAGCTGCAGGCAAGGCGCTCCACGACATGGACGCGACCAACAGGCAGCAAGGCAGTAAAATCTGATCCTGACATCCTCATTGAGTAGTGATTTTTCTATGAGGTTTTTGACCAACTCCAGATGAAATGACTTCAACCTGATCCTGATCCTGACCACCTCGCAGTAAAATGAGGTGTTTGACCTACAGGTTTTGGTCAAGCTCAAGCGGTCGTAAACAGCAGCAGTCGTCCGGACGGTCGTTACAGAGCGGAACCGGTCGTGACCGGTGGCGACCGGTCGTTCGGCGGCCAAAGTGGGCTTTTCATGTGCTTTGGACGACTCGAGGAATCGAAACAAGAGAAAACAACACAAACCAAACACCGACACCAGCGAGGTGATTTTGGGACACCCCCAGACAGCTTTTTTCACGGCTGATAGACACCTCTTGGAAGGTCCTGGAAGTGATTGCATTGTGTGGGTGTCCATGTCCCTTCAGCGTTTTTGGTCGGTCCGTTTTTTTTTGATCATGAGTGTGTCCATGTGCTGCATTCATGGTGGCTTGGATTAGCTTATCTTCCACCGAAAGATCGCACTCGTGACCCAAATCATTGGGCCGAAATGGATGTCGTCAATGGCCATTCGGGCTCATTGGGTGCAAGTGAAGTGAATCAGGTCGATGTTCTTGTAAGAACGGTCAGACACCACCGATGACACCACCGATGACCCCACGTCCGGTCGCGGACGACCCAGATCTGCGACGACGAAGATTTGGTCGAGCTGAAGGACCAGGAGGAGCTGGAGGCGCCCGTCGCGTCACGTGGAGAGAGGACGGGCACAAATCCTCATTGCTATCCTCGGACAGTCCCCCCCCAAATGCCAACTCCAAGCTATATAATCATACCGAATCATACCTTTGGATCCATTTTGCTGATATAAGCGTCGGGAGTTGGGGATGGGAGGTGTTGCATTTGACATTTCCGGCTCCAAGCCAAGCTGTTCGTGGAAATGAACAGAGTTTTCCATGGCTTTTCCTGAAGGGGCACTGATTCAGATGCCGATGGGAGTGGTGTTTTGAACACGTTTCTTGTCGCCGATGCAGAGAGCGATCCCGGCGTTTTGTCGGGCACTGATTCAGTGTCGCAGCATCACACGCTTCCACTCAGGGACGGGCACGGTATGCGGCATGCTGGCCTAGCTAGACCAGTGTCGCAGTGTTCAATTTTAAGGGACAGGGCAATCCACTCGGAAGCTAGTAGCAAGAAGCTACTAGGTGGAGGCCATCGCTACTAGGGTGGAGGCCATCGTTACTTAGGGTGGAGGCCATCGCTACTTAGGGTGGAGGCCATCGCTACTATAGTAACAAGAACGCTACTAATGGCACTACTAATGGCTATAGGGTACATCTTTCCGTAGATTCTCGGCGGATCGTCTTCGCACCGCCCAGCGCCTGAAAAGGCCACCTTTGCATCCGTCACGGCCAGCGGCACGGAGAAAAAAAGATGCCGATTGCACGTTTGTAACTGGGCGAAGGAGGGATCTGTGATCATTCCGCCAATAGAATATGACAGATTGCGCAACTGATGCCCTTGGAGTTGTCCCGTTTCCCTTCAAAAGTGTCACTTGAGTGGATTCAGGCCCATACTATTTAAGATCATCCACCAGCTAGCTGTGCGTTTGTGGCTTTCGGGGCTTTTCAGAATCGTTCCAAGAATGCATCCGATGACGTACCGAAAAGAAGATCATGTGGGTTGAGTCCTGGCCGGTCCACTTTTTGCTGCCTGAAATGATGTGACATGTGCCGCACCCGTGTGCATCATGCACCAGGACGTCCGGACGCTGTGGATTCCAACGAGGCAAAAACTACGAAGAAAGAGAAACAAGCAAAGCAACACATCTTGATCTGTATAGTTTTCCATTATTTTCTATATAGAGAAACACATATGGGCAACACAGGGAGGGCTCCTCATTCTCATATCCCATTGAATGAGCCATGCGTCCAAACGTGTCGAGTCCAAGCGGCCAAACGTCGAGACTCACTGTCACCGGACGGAACGACGGAAGTTGCTGCTCAAGTGAAGTGTGGCACCATGGATCGATGCGTCATTGCCATGCAATTGAAGACTGCAACACCAGATCTACCAGGTCAAACTGCTTCGCAGCCGCGACCGAAAGGCTTTTCCACAGGAAAACCTCCCAAGCTGCGGCTTTCATTGACCAGGTCAAGCATATTTGAGCCTTCAAGCAGTTTTCCCCCACAGAACAAGCTGAAAGACACGCCTCTTGTCGCCGCAAATAGAAGTGTTTCATATACTTCCTTTGACGCCATGGAGTTGACCGATGAGGAGTTGGTTGTTTTTGTTCGGAGATGTGTGGGAGGTCTGCCAGCACCACGTGGCCCTTTTGGTCACCGGGGGACCCTGGTTGACATATTGGTTGAACGACTGGATGACCGGGGAAGTCAACATACCACGGTTTGCAGCCACGGGCATGTAGCGAACGACTGGATTACCGGAAGGTCAAGCAAGGCATCGTGGTTTGGACCCACAGCCATGTGGGAATAGATGCCTTCCGGTTTTGTCCATTGATTTCATTGCATTTAAATATACTTCTGGCGCGCTAGGTTACGGACAGGAAGGTGGTCTGGGCTCATGTGAACAATATGTGGATTGGAAAGCAACGACATAGTCAACACCAGCATAGCATAGTTCTTCAATAATAATCAAGAGCCCGCCGGCGTTTTTACGGCTTCTGGGTGCTCCTAAAAGGTCTCATCAGATCTCATCAGTCACTGTTGCAAGGTGCCCAAAGTCGGCAAAGTCGGCGCTCATCAGGAGTCCGGAGAAGAGTCATTACTCGAAAATCAGCCCTGGGGCCCGGCTGTAGAACGCCGGGTTGGGACCGAAGGGGTGGAGAGTGAGCCGGATCGTAAAGGGGATGCAGATAGGGGAAACCGACCACCCAGGGCATCGGGTCCCGTCTCGGCAGTTTTGGAACCCTGTCCAGACCCAGACCGAGCTCGGATCTTTGGCAAGAATGCACGGAGTAAAGAAACCGTTCACCTTCACTGGCCCCCGATTGGCCAAAACCAACTCCAGGGCATCGCCATTTCCGGTCTGTCAGGTCGTCCCGACCGAAAAACCGCGCTTTCTGTTTTTTGTATCGCACATGGGACTTGGCAGGAAGAGACCCCAAGTCACGTGGCCGAACTGGTAAAAAACAACCAACAACCTGAATCGATGTCAATCGACGTCGATCTGTAAGGCTGTAAGGATTCACCCTCAAAAGCTACTCTTTTGATCTCTTGGGACTTTCTGGCACTGTCCGCAGCTTGTGGTCAGGGGCGGCAAGTGAAGACTTTGAGACACTCAAACATCTAAAACCCATCAGAGCATGCCAACAGCTTGGCTTGGGACACTCCTCCACTGGGGACCTCAACTTCACTTTTCGACCTCGTGGGTTCTGCCTCGGCTGGTGGACGGCGTGCGCGTGGGGGCGTCGACGTCACCGGTGGTGGTTCACCTTCGAGACGCTGACGGAGGTCCGGGGGCATCATCTCGGACACCTTGGGCATGTTCCGGAGGTTCGGGCGGCGCCGTGCGCTACTCCCGTGCTGGGGGGAAAGGGGTCTGGCTGGTGGGTGGTGTGGTATGGGTGGTGTGGCAGAAGACCCAACCCTAGAAGAGCCTCGTAGAAAATGGAACCACGTCTTCTTACAGTGGTTTCAGAGTATATGGCACAAGTTACCCCAAATTTGGTGGTTTATATGGACGATCCATATAAAAAGAAAGACCTCCTTTTTGTGCCAGTACCATACTCGGCCGTCCGGGCCCGCGACCGCGACCGAACGGGCCGTCGAGCAACGACCGTGCAGAAGCGATTCTCGGCTGGGCCCGAGGTTCATAGCCATCCGCAGCAATATACTATAGAATACTATATAGCATTCTACATAATTTTCATAAGTTGTTGTTATTAAGCTTGAAGATCTTTGAAGTGATGAGCCCATTTTGATAAACACTTTGCTTCTGCATCATGCTTCCCACATGTCCCGACACATTTGATTGCAATCACCGCAGGAACCCTCAGCTGATGAAGGCGCGACAGGGAACCCTCCTCGGTGAACCAGGGCCCAAAGCAATCTGGATCACGAAGTCCAGGGAAGACCACTTTCTCCTACAAAACAGGGGCTTTTCCCCCTCCATTTTGGTTGGATATAGAGGGTCGTTTTCTGAAAAGGTGCTGTACAATTGCCGATGTAGACACATCATTTGGGTGTGTTTGAAGATGACCCCAGCCAACGAATTGCTTGTCATTTGGACCTCGCATTGGAGGTCTGAAAAAAGAACTGGCCTCACAACCTGAACAGATCCGAAGACATCTCAACCCGGAAAAAAGCGGGGGCTGGGCTCTGCCATGGTTTCCCCAAGTGACCAAGGATTGGAGTGGTTAGAAGAAACCGGAGGAGGTGCTGACCGGTGGCTTGTTTCATCCGTTCCCAAAGTCAATTCATCGGACTGCCAATATTTGCCTGTGCTTTGGGGAGGGTCAATGTACCAAGAGAGGTTATATAGGTGACCTTATAGGACCCGTCACCTGGGGTACCTATGGGATAGTCTAGTTCGGGTCCTTCAACCTCTGGTATTTCATGCATCTTTCCATTCAAAAAACGTTTGTCCTTCCGGAGGAAGGAAGCCGGACGAACCGGACGAACCGGACCCGTGGACCGACCAGCCGAACCGGGTCGCGCAGGCGCGGGGGTCGCGCTTTTTTCCGCGCATCGCCAGGTCTTGATCCTGGCAGGATTGCAGCAAGGCTTCTGCAGTGCGGCCACTCGGGACGTGCCGACACCCGCTTCGACACGGTGAACCAGCGACTCGCGGTCGGCTGTGGCCACACTGCGCAGATTCAAGACATGGGTGCAGAAAGCCGATGCCATGCGTGAAGGAGACATGTTTGCAAAAAAACACAGATCTGGCACAGCCAACGATTTTTAGACCTGGTCTGGCAGTTCAACGAACAAGTACAAGTGTGACACAGTGATATCAGATATTCAGTTTCTGGATCCGTGGATGCACAGATACCACTCTACTCCTCATCGATTTATAGCCCCACTTCCCATCCATGTTTCGCCATCCTGGTCTGGCAGCGGTGCCAACTTGCCCCAGTACCTCACAGTTTGACCCTCCGTAGGTTCCGTCGTGCGTCACTTTGAATCTTCTGATGTTTGAAGATGAGACCCTTCTTGTGATGTAGCAGAGAGGAGGTGCAACATGGTTTTTTGAAGATCAACATCTTTTCTTTTGCAAGATGGAACTGGAAAGATATAGGCCGAGACATGCGTGGCGAGACATGAGCCAGACATATGAGTCGGTTGGACTTGTCGAATTTGGACACAACCGACATCGGTCGACACCAGCTCACCTTAGGGGATGGACATGACTTTCGCCAATCCCGTGCTTCTTCAGAGAGACTTTTGACCGTTTTTCCTGCTTTCAGGGAACATCAATTTGATCTCTCTTTTTGGGGAAGCGGACGACCTGATTGAAAGCACCGTGAACATTCATGACACCAGCCCCCCTTCCTTCCAACAGGTCTTCTCGTTTGAGGGTTGGGAAGGGCCTTAACACGTCGAATCATTGGTGACCTGTTGGGGGGGTGCTGCTATAGGCTATCATCCTGCTGGATTTCTTCGTACAAAGGTTTTGTTTTTGCATCAGTCTGAGCAGTGAAAAACATGGCCGGTGCACCGTGGCGTTCTTTTCCCCATGCTGGGCGTGTTTGCCCTGCCCGTCTAAGACTTGGCGCAAACCTTCGTCTTCTCCAACCTGCGCGTCCAGTACTGGGGCGAGCACATGTCAGGGGCCTCGATCTGTGTGACATTTTTCGGTAGTGTGGCTGGACCATCGAAACGGTGTGGCCATTGGATTTAACCAGGGCCGTTGAATATAGACAACGACACCGAGTTTTTCTTGTGCAACCTGGTTATATAACCTTTACAACATTTGTACACAGCGCCACAGTGCTGCCTGCAATACATCCCGGTTCTTTCATGTCGTGTCGTACCACACACGTCTCAGACGATGATGTTTGTCGTGTCGCTTCGCGTTGGACAAGACAGAAGTCGCTCCACCCCGCCCCCCTGGAGCACAAGGGCTCGACCTTCAGCCCCAACGGACGAAGCAAGCTGCAACGAACACCGCTTCCGCCACAAGCCCGAAGGATGGTGCAGGGCTTTGGTGGATGGCATTTGGTTTGAGGGATGCATCTCTTGATGAACATCATGTGTAGACACCATGTAGATGAACTTGAGTTGCACCAAGTGGCCAGTGCCGTCTTCGATGTGTGGATTGGCCAACACCTCAAATCTACAGTCCTCTTCGCTGTGACTGTCCTATTGCTTTCGGGGAGACACATCAAAAGCGGTGAATCCACCATCTCCTTCGCGTCCTTCCGCGTCCTTCCGCGTCCTTCCGCGTCCTTCCGCGTCCTTCCGCGCGTCCGGCGCGTCCGGCGGAAGAGGTCGGAGTACCAGTCGGTGGCCAGCATCATGATCAGCTTCGTCGCGGTGATCTTCGGAGGACCCTTCGGCAGGTTCGGGGCCCGTCGGTCGAAGGAAGGACCGGCGGTGAGTGAAGGACTGGGTGCGAAAACACGAACGGGAGGGTGTAGACACAATTACATTTGGGGATTGGATGGGAAACTCGTTCTTTTTAATGTCATCAATGGCTCTTGGGGGTTTCAATTTGGATCTTCCTAACCACTGAGACAGTTGGTACAAGAGTATCACTACTTTTTGGTTGAGGGCCTTACAACCATCCCTCATCATCCACTACTCCAGTGGGTCGGTATACATCTATACCCAAGTTGTGATCATATTGCTAGATTGTGCTTAAACATTGGATCTAGCAAGACATTAGGCTTGCAGAAAGGTTGGCCAAACCTATGAAACGAGTTGGGACCCACTGCATCACAGGCAGGGAATGACGGAAGACGATAGGCGGGTCAGGTCGACCAGCCTGAACACGCACGCCCAAAATTGAACTGATCGAGAAGGAGAATCCTCTTCATGAATGTAGGGTCTATAATTTTTGCGCTTATAGGTGTGATTCAGACATTTGGAGAATCTCCCCACAAAGCGCCACATACCAGACCAACTAGCATTCTTTTGCTTTGGCCGAGAAACCCCTATGACTTGGTGAACACACAATTTCGGTTTTGTTTTTGGATGTGCACCCGGTGGACATTGCATGTCAGTGTCATCCACAACTATCAGATGCTCTTCAGTCTTGCAATCTTACTCGTCTTTTCGGCAGGTTGAGCAGTTTGGACAGCTATATATAATATTGTTGGCAGATGCCGTGCCTCTCAGCCACATGTTTGGGACCTATATAACCATCTCTTGGGGTTTTTACTTAACACTCTGAAGACCATCTTCAGTCCTATATAGTTTTTTTTTTTTTTTTTTTTTTTCTGGGGTTGTTTTGGGAGGCTATAGACGATCAGTTCTTGCGGACCGAGACCATTTCCGCAGGCACCCTTTTCCCGGCCTCGAGAGATGCTCCTACTTCTCAACGGGGTGTGGAGGAGGGTCATATCCCAGAATTGGTTGAAAGGGAACAGCTGGGCCTGGACGACTTTCAAGTTCAAGGCCTGCCTGGTCCTGTCTAGTGGTCTCCAAATAGATCGTGGCACAGTTTCCAATACATTCTGAACTAACGTGGGGAGACAACACTTTTCTATTATGAATAGAACTATGCACCCATACGGGAGATGGACACCCATGCGTCCGTCGCGTCGGAGCGTCCGTCTCGGCCAGATTTAGTGATGCCGTCGACCGCCGAGCCGGGGGCCCGAGGGGCGTCGTAGAGGGGTCGCGTGGCGTCTACGACGCGCATGGCATCGGACATCGACACGTGGGTGTGTACTTCCTAGGGCTCCAGCTACCCTGAGAAGGTGGTTGGGGAGGGTGCCAGGGGGGTCTAACCACCTTCTGAGGATATGGTTGGAGCCCTAGAGATTAAAATGGGGAGACCTCCCAGTTTGGTTTCCTGGAAGGTTCGGGAAATAGACCAGTGTACTCCAGGGCCAAGGAGTCTCCCTATCACACATCCATGTAGTCAGTTCTCAGGGGACCAGTTCCAGTGAGAAGATGGCAACACTTCCCAATTGGTCTTCTACCGGTCTGTTGGAGTTCTTTGTGGCCGAACTTTGTCGCAGTTGATGACCTGCTGGAGATGGTGATTCTTCATATCCATCTTAAAGCCTTGGATTAACTTGGATTCCTACCTGGGAATCAAAACAACCAGGAAATATGGGCTTGAGATCCTTTGCAAAGGAAATGGCTGGGACTGGGGAAACATCCATTTCTTTCTGGTTGTTTGGGCTTCCAGGTAGATCCGTACTGCAATTCGCGACCGCAGAGTCCCTGTCTGACAGCAAGGGCCAGTCGATGATTTGGGGATCTCATTCAGGTCGACTTGAACTGAAGCTTCAGTTGGTACAGGATATCCAGTGCAATGAATAGGTGCATGGAAACATATGGAACCATAATGGAACCTCAAATTTTTCCCCAGGGACAAAAGAACTGGGAAGCTTCGTTTCCTCGCTGCAGTATTTTACTAGACTTGATCCTTTCGGGGCGTCTGTTCGGGGTGGTGCCCAGTTAAAGCCAGGTGATGTTCATTTACACTTGGAGGCTCACTGCGTCCAGCATGACCCATCACACGAAAGCTTCACTTGCTGAAACTTCAATCTGCAGTGCCACTTGGCTTCAGCGGCTGTCTGACTTCAGCGCCTAGTCTTTTGCGAAGTCCAACGTTGGTCAATCAAAGCTGTCTTCTGGGCTTCCCAGAGACACTTGACCACCTTCCATGGCGTTTTTCCATCGCTTTCTCCCGCTGCTGCTCACTCAGAGCATGCTCTTCACCGTGGCCACGCGCGCGCGGCATGAGAACAGAGAGTCGATGTTTCCGAGGGTACTGGCCCGCCACTTGCCTGGTGTGGAAGGGCGTCGGATGGTGAGCGTCTTCCCACTAGGTGCCTGAACTGGAATTTCCTGCAGCGGTTGATCTGCCTTCAGAGATTCAGATTGCAATGACGTTAAAAGACTCCAAGCTCTACTGCACAGCTCCTTTTCGAGGTCCGGAACACTTCCCCATTTTAAGACCGACCGTTTTAGAGACCTGGGGATGACCACAGCGGACAGCTGGCACCACTCGGTCGGGGTCCTTGGACGGATCAACTGAGTCCAGGGACGAGGGATGAGGATGACTGGAGCCTAAGGTATCCCTAGCGATCCAGTCGTATCAGTCGTACTGTACCTCAGGTTCGGTATGACTGGACCCGAACATGGCACCGGCTGTTCGAACGGCGTCGAACACATCACCGTAACTGAGAAGGTACGACTGGACCCCTAGGGTGAGTCCAGGCCAGGAGAAGATCCTCCATGAGTCAGGCATTCAGTTACCCTCGCACGGTGCACCTCAGCCCTTTTGGAGGTCATATGAAATGTCTTGTAGACTCGTGAGGACCATAACCCCCCCGGTGGGTTATTAATCAAGAGTCTACATTAGATTGCTTATTAAGTCAGACCTTGTCCAACTGTGCCATCGCCGAGAACCCGGACGCGCGCCGTGCGCGTCGACTGGACGGCGACGCCCAGGGACTGCGCCACGTCTCTTTACGCTGGCCAATCGCAGAGCGTCGAATGGTGGTCAGATGAGTAAGGAGGCCTTTGAGGAGAAGCCACAAGTGGTTGACGTTGGTTGACCGCGGATGAGTTCGAAGCTTCCTTGATGTTCTTTCGATGCCAACCCAGCAGCATGAGACGGGCTCCCGGTGCCATGACCCACAGCCGTACGGCAACACAATCCATTGGGCGACCCCACAATGGCGACCCCAAAAGAGCGATCGCCCATGGGTATGACCGCATCGTCAATAGCCAAAACCACTTCAGTTCAGGCGTTTTGGTCATTGATCAAAGAGTTGACCACGAAATGGCTTGACCACGAAATGTTCAGAACGGGTCCAACATGTCCAACGGTCTCGGGGTTAGTCTCCGCTTTCGGGATTTGGGCCGCCAAACAGGCGGACTCCGGAAGCAGCTTTGAAACTGATTTGGGCCAAACATGGCTTGCGGCCGAAGGTTCACCATCGATAGCCGACTCCGAATCCGGTCCTGACCCATGACCTGACCGGCTAAGACGTGACAGCTCAAGGTGAAGCATCATCCACCTGTGAGAGTGTGTGTGTGTCTTTTCGCATCGCCAAGAAGAAAGAACGGCTTTCCACTGAGTGAGAGTGACCCACAAAAGTGTCGTCCATCGTCCGGGGACACAGCCGCTGTGTCTCCGGGATGGGGACTTCTCTGGCGTTTCAGGACTTCCTAGCGAGCTTCATGACCTACAGCGCGGAGACCAACAAGAAGATCGTCCAGGACGGGGGCCACCGCGGAAGCGAAGAACACGTCCGTGGCCGAGAGTTGGGTCTGTTGATGGTCAGGTAGGGGGAGAGATAGTGACTTAGTAGTGAGGTAGTAACCATACATCCAGTCGAATCTAACAGCTGCCAGACCTGGGACTGCTGGGAGGCTCAACCGCTGATCTTTGTCAGGAGGCCATGAAGGGCCCGGGCCGCCGTGCTTACGAGGCCGTGAGGCGCGGAGACGACTGGACCCGGTCGAAGCGCATTTGCAGGATCTGCAGGTGGTAGCTCCTGACATTACTACTAGTAGCAAGAAGCTCCTGGGTGGAGGCCTTTGCTATTAGGTTGGAGGCCATCGCTACGAACGGAGCAAGAAGCTACTAGGTAACAAAGGGCATCGCTACTAGATAAAAGATCCTGGCCCACTGGAGAGTGGTTCGGAATGGAGAGGTGGTGCCGGTGCAAAGACCTCGATGAGGAACCGTCTTCGGCCATGGATTCGTATCTTTTCATAAGGACCTTGTACTTGTACGCAAGATATCACACATGGTCACAAGTCAGAACAAGATCAAAGCACGAGACCATTTCAATAAACCTTTGCCTTTGCCCAGCACTTTGGAACACCGGACAGATCCCACCGTCCTCCCCACCCCGGACCCTCCCCCCCGCGAGAGATCGTTCGCCTTCATGTGGCCGCGTCCCGTCAGGCGCGCGTACCGCCCCTCTCCGGATGTCGTGGAGAAGATCTTCGCCTCCTATGGCCGTGGACCCAAGGGTGCCCAGATCGCCGCGGAGATCATGGCACCCTATGGCCGTGGCCCGTTGGGGCAGAAGGCGGGCACGGAGTGCGCCCGCGCAGGACTCTTGGGGAGGGAAGGAAGAGATGGAGGAGGAAGGAGGAGGAAGAGGGGGGGGCATCTTGGGGGTGGTAACTGGAGTCAGTGAATTCCTTGAGGTGGTGTGAAGCAGGATTTGGCGGAGAATGGGCAGGATTGGAGGACGTCATCCACAGGTTTTTTGTTGTTTGGCAGGTGGTTCTTAGATCTAGTGTGCTTGGCCAGCAAGATCTGACATGACACGTTTCCAACAGCCTGTGCAGGTGGCCAATGAGGCGTATCGGAGCATCCGAAGATCTCACACAGGCAGAGGCGTGCTGCAAGACATGGTGGAGTGGCAGGCTGGGACAGCAGTCTAGCATGGCGGTTGTTCTCCTCGATGGTGTTGTCGGGTCCTCCCTTGTGTAAAGAATCAGCCAGAGTATCAAGCTTGGTCACAATCTGAAGAAGTTTCACAGATAGTATACAGTACGCCTCTCCAATTCCAGGCGAAAAGGGAGTATGCCGACGAGCTTCTCCTCAAGGCGAGACGCAAAACGTGCCAGAAGAAGTGGTAGATCCTTGGGAACACTGCCATTCATGGATACCCTTGCTTACCTAGCAGCTGGTGTGTCTTATTTTGTCCTGTCGTTGTGTCTGTCTTGTTCGTCTGGAGTCTGATTCGTCTGGAGTCTCCATTACGAGAAGTTTCTGGCTCTGGGCTAGAGGTTCAGCCTCGCAGGACCCATGCCTTGGGTTTGATGGTTTGCCTCATTTTGGACCAGCTTCATTAGATTGACCTCTTTTCATCAGCTGCAGAAAAACGCTTCCACTTTCCCAATTTCCCAATTTCTGTTGCCATCGTCTGCCTAATTGGCGCAGTGCGCCAATGGTTGTCTACGTTAGACAGGTTTTCTGGTTTGAACATGCTCCCCTGCATGTATTGAGAGCAAGGATCCACGGAGAACAGCTTTGTTTGGTTTGCCGCAACTCCCCTGGACCATGTTGGTTTCTGAAAGGCTCACAGAACACGCCGGTCCAGAAACGAACTGGTCCACGAGTCCACACTGCTCAATGGTGCTGGTCTTCGCCGCCCCAAACATGCGCGCAGATTCAAGCTCGGGTACCTATCATTGAGGCAGGCGGCTTGGTGAAGAGAGTCCCTCGGAGCAGAGGGTGGTGGCAGGGTGGATGGGTGGATGGTACTTTCACACATCACGTACGTGAACGGATAGACTCATAGACGAGTGGCTGCACCCATCCGCACCCCACATGATACGAAATCCACTGCCACGGAGCGACTTTTCAGTTCTTCCCGTGACGGAATCCCAAACTGGCCCTACAGTAGTAACAAGGACGCAACTAGGAACAAAGGGCATCGCTACTAGGAACAAGAAGCTACTAGGGGCTCCTGGCCTTACTACTAGGAGCAAGAAGCTACTAGTAACAAGGACGCTTGTGCAACTGGATTGGATGACCAGATGCCGCCCAAGACCATTGTTCAAAGAACATGAGCCCACGTCCCCTGGGCTCCTTCCTCTTGAGTGAAGCTGTTCCACGCGTTCCAGGAATCTTTTGGTTTAGCCTTTCAATACATGTAATTTGACGATTTGAAGTATCTCGCCGCTCTCTTGTAAAAAAGGTCCTCAGGAACTAATGGCTTCGTACCGCGCACGGAGATTTGCAGAAGTCCTGGAACTTGTGATGTTCACTGACCCTGGGCAGCCTCAGGTGTGGACGACTCCCATCCCACCTCATTTGAAGAAGCTCGTGGAGGACGCGGTGGTGCAAGCCTACAAGGAGCAAACCAAGCAACTAACTGCAGCAAACCCCGTAGTCAAAGCAATAATATGAACTCCTGATTTTCGAGATTTGAAGCGAATCTAGTCTGGCAGAAACCTCGTGCTGATGCGCAAGACACCAGAGCACGACCTGTGCAGGTCACCTGTACAAGGTACTTCCTGTTTTGGGTCACCAAGATTTGGAACAAAAAACAAAGAACAGACAAGAAAAGAAGGGTCTGACTAGGTGACCTGATTCAGGAACTTCCTGGACTTCTGGGTCAAAATATGGTAATTGCACTTCATAGGGCTTTCTTAATCAAAAAAGGACACGCACAAATTGCCCTCTGCAGCGGCCCGATGCAGCTCGCGGAAGACGAAGGGCTGCCACGCCTTTTCGACCGACCTTTTCGACCGGAGACGGGTGGACCGAAGCAGTTCACCGGCGAGGCGGGGAAGTATGGCAAGGGCGCCGAGGCAGAGAAGGTCTTGACCGAAAGCATGCAGCTTGACCGGTCACGAAGCGAAGCGACCGGGCGGGGGAAGGGCCACCAGGATCTGCCTCGGGTGTGTAGGTGCTTCGATCCATTTTCATTCAAGACTTTCTGATGAATCACTCAGGATGAACAAGGTGGTCTTGACGATATTTGTCAACCACTTAACGCGGTCAAGGCGAGCCTTGAGGCCACTCAGAATCACAACCGATGGGCATAATTATACTATATATACATTAGTAGACCTCTGAATTATAGAAAAGAAAGGGTTCCAATATGTCACCATAGTCTAGTGGTCACTTTCTTCACTCAAGGTCAGTCATCGATCTTATCAGGTCACAAATCACCAAACTCAGCATCATTTTCCTCTCCAAGACCACCCCGATGTGTCACAAGCACTCCACGGCTTCCGGCGACCCACCAGAGCCAGAGCCGTCGGCCCTTCCGAACACCGAGGAACTTCATCGCGAAGGGCGCTGGGCTCTTCCTGGGCGTCGGCCTGGCGAGTCAAGGCGTCGACGGGCTGGAGGCGTTGGACGCGGAGCCGGAGCCGGGCAGCCTGGGCAGCGACGAGGAGTTTGAGACGAGGAGAGAGTTGGAGTGAGTTGGAGACTCGTGGAGTCTGATGGAGGATGTAAAGAGAAGGAAAGTCATGTGCGGGAAGAGAGCCTGGACGCAACAGATGTCATGGGGGTTCCTGGAGTTTTTAGAGCTCGAGGCTTAATGATAGGATAGGGTTACTGTATGTTACCGTCACTGTATTGGATAGTCAATTGAACCAGCTACTGCAATCTGTCTAGAATCTATACCAGAGTGGATCTATGGGCCATCAGAGATATACCTTCGCACAGGCACAGGTGGTCAGATTTGTTTTTGGTTTCACCACGCCTTTTGCGGCCAAAGCGTTTGTTTGTACAAAACCATACAAAACCTCAGTCACATGACTCAGACCTGGGGATCACTCCTTGCAAGGAGCCTCCTCGCACCATAGCGCCAGTTTCGACACTCGCCAGGACGGAGGATTTACCCAAGTCGACGGCGTTGGAGACGTTGGCCCTGGAACCCAGTGTGGAGCATGCGAAAGAGGCGGCCGAAGAGCTGCAGAAACCTACCAGTGAGGCCCGGAAATGGGATGGGCTTCGGAATGAAGTAGAAACGCCACTGAGACGGCGATGCATATAATTGGTCTCACACATTAAAGGGGGATCTTTTGAATGGAGGAATCCTCCATTGTTTTTGGATTCATTGGATTGTTTGCTTGGTCCAACTTCCTCTATATATACTAAAATGTTTCGATTTCAGAGATTCTTCACTGTTTTTTTTCTGTACAGCACCCAGCACCCCCTTGGAAGGTGCTGGCGAGCACGTTGACCTACTGGATGGACCAGGCCATCCAGCTGGGCGCGGCCGGAGACGAGGAGGCCGAGGCCGTCGCGGAGGATGGGGCGATGGCGAACTTCCTCCAGGGCATGCGGCAGGCGCCTTCTTTTGTTTGGCGTGGAGTGGCGTGGCCAGGAGTGAGGAAGCGTGGAGGAAACTGGGGTAGTTGAACTGGGGAGGAAAACTTGGGGCGATCAGTCCAGCGGTCTATGTTTGGGAGATGTCCTAAAGATGAGTATCACTATCGCAGTGACCCAACGCAGCAGAAGACTTTTGGGTGGGACGAGCTCAGTCATTGGGTGTAGCGACCGTGGTGCGATATGTATCGTATGTGTGTTTCGCTGCTGAGCTCCAAAAATCGTGATCCCATTGTGTATATTGTGTGGTCCGAGTGTTCAACGGCCCATGGTAGCCCACCCTGTTGAACGTCTTCCAGTGTTTCTTCCAGAAATGACTTCAGCATGACCAGAGCATAGAAGACCCCTCAAATTCACAGCAGTACCTGGTGTCCTTCTACCAAAACATGTATTGCCCCCCCACATCCCTCCTCCAAAAAGCTGCTTCAAAGTGAGTTCATCCGACTTCATCCGGATCTTTTCGCACCTCGCCGCACCTCGCCAGCTCGCGTGAGCTGGCGCCAGGCAGTGGCCTCGCTCTCGGAGGAGGAACTGAAGGTCTCCCAGGCCGTACTCGACGAGCTGCTCGAGGCGGACCGTGCTCGCCGTGCTCGAGTCGCCACGCACGCGGAGTCGCAACCCGCGAAAGTCAAGGGTCGAGTCTGCTGGGGTCTCGGTGGGGGTGTGAGGGGGTGTGGTTTGGTGATGCAAGGACTCTTCGGTTGGCGGCCAAATTGAAGATGTTTGTGTTTCATCTCGGTTTTTGAGATCAAATCGGGTTCTCCCAGTTATAACATCACACTTCTTTTCTCTTGACTTTCTTTTTTGCTTTGACCACTCACCTGACCACGCTGCCTCACCCCCCCCGACGACACCGACCGATCCGAATCCACCGACCACCCGTCCAGGAGGCGAAGGGGATCGTGGATTCCGCTGACGCCTGGAGTTCCGGGGAGTTCGTTCCAGAAGTGCGGTCTGGCCGTCTGGAGAGGTCTGGCCTCCGTCAATAGATGTGTGTTACTTGTTACCCCTTTTTTTAGGTCACAGACCTCAATTTGACTGGAATTGGTCATACAAAAGCAATCAAAAGCACTACTCAATGAGGTTTTAAGGATCAGGTTTTACTGGGTCAGACTGGACCTGTAGGCTTAAGAATACCACTAGGACAGTCCTGTCTCTTTCTTTTTCGAGCGACACCCGAAGTTCACGACTTGGGAAGACTGAACCATGAGATCCAGGAGTCTTGCTTCGGGGGTGTCGTATGTTGGCAAGAGCAGCAATCGCCTTTGGCCCAAAAGAAGTCGAGGTCTTCTCTTCTTGTAACGTCCTTGCTCCTAGTAGCGATGCTCCTAGTAGTACGGCCAGGAGCCCCTTGCTCCTAGGTCTTCTCTTCTTGTTTTAGTTCTTCTAGCTATTCCTTGTTGTTCTTTCATCTCCAAGGATGGGATGGACTTGCTCTTGGAGACGGAGGAGCAGTTGGAAGACTATATGGACCCTTCCATACCTTTAGAGGTCGAGGACCTTTCGAAGATGGAAGATGTGGAGTGAAGAGATGGGTCGGTGGGTGTGTATCGAGTTCACCGACCTCTAGAAGGTCAACCAACTTCCCTTTGGTCCAAAAACAGGACACAAAGGAACAAGACCCCGTATAGGAGCCAAAACATGGTCACCATAGGAATCATACACACCCATCTTGAAGACGATCCAGATCCAGAAATCCAGACGCGATGGGCTGGAAGAAAAAGAGCATCTTTTCCGCCGACTCGCTGGGGACCTGTTGGTGAGGATTGGTGCGAGTTGGAGGGGAACCTTGATCGTAGCAGTTATGAATAGCAGGAACATGCCCAGTGTTTATTTGCTTGTGAAGCTTCCCCAAGGTCACTTGCACCACAGGCATTCATATGTCACCTTGCTCCACTCTGGAGTGACGAGACCGAGTCAAGTGCTTTTTGTATCATGAAGAATCTTTCTTCCACATCACAGCACACACTGTTCGGACACGCGACGATCTGGTCTGGACGGCTGTGACCTCCGCGCCCAGGTGGCGGTGGGGCTCTTTGCGGCAGGGACCTTCCTGCCCGGCTGGTCGGGACACTGAGACGTCGGGAGGAGGGTGCTGGGTCGTCTGGACCCGGCTCTTAGGTCACCTTTCCCCCTAATGTAGACGCTTGAGGACCATAAACCCCTCCCACTTGAATTGGACATCCTCTCCTTATGAGGGGGTTTATTGATCAAGAGGCTACATTACTCCACTAGTCACGAGAAAAAGATCGTTTTTGGGCAAAGAGAGAGCGAGCGGTCTTGGATTCTTGTTTCCTTCAAGTAGGCTGCAGTTGTCAAATGTTTCAACCTCTCAGATGGTCCAGGCGACCGTGGGTGCGTTTTGGGTGAGAACAGAAAGAAGACTCCAAGACACCTTTCTTCCTTTGCCAAGAATTTGTACACAAAAGTGAACTGAACTGGGGCATCGATCAAATGCGGTGCTGTGGCCTTCTGACATATATAACTTGAAATTACCTACCTAGTCTGGTGTAGCTGCATGTCGTTGTATCCGGGGCCCATAGCTTGTGCTGGCTTCCTGGGTCTTCTGCCATGCGTGGGCGGGCAACGGTTTTTCCAGGACGTGTCACTGGTGCTTAGAGCACAAGTCGGAGCCGAAGCGACACGACGACGCGACGCGTTCGTTTGCTTTGTTTCTCGCCTTGATGATCGTTTTTTTCTTCGTTTTTTTCATCGATTGCGGAGAGCTTTTGGGATGCTTTTGGGACCCTCCGCTGGAGCCGAAAGAACAGCGTTTTGCGACCGCGTGGGATGCCTCTGTGTCTGAATCCATGATGTAGAAGTCCGCACACAGAACAGCTTCCTGGTGCCTGTGCCGGCCCATGGCATTGGGCAAATTGCATCGACGTCGAGATTTCGACCTCAAGGCCCATCGTCCACCCACCCAACTCATCGATGTTTCTTGTGCGGGTAGGGGTGCCCAGCTACTCCACTCACTTAGGGACAACACCACCCCTGCTGACTCCTGGTTTTTTCTTTCGTGGATCCCCCACAGTCCCAATTTTAAACACCCTCTTCATGAGTTTCCATGAGTCAGAATGTCTTTTTTCTCCCTATAGAGAGACTCCAGAGGGGCGCTAGCCAGACTACCCCATGGCCAAGCCCTGTTCTCCCAGGGCCCTGCAGATCTTTGGGGAGACCTCCAGTGGCCTTTGGATCAGCACACTCGCACCTCGGCCACTGCAGTTCTCCCCCCTCCGCGTGGGTCGGTGTTTTGGCTCGTTGGGACGGGTCCCGTGGTTTCGGGCCGAGCGCCTGGCTGGGACCAGCTTGTTCGTCTGGTTCGTGAGGCAAGCTGTCCCAACTCGTCGATTCTGGACCAGCCACCATTGGTTTCATGGTGAGTGATTTCCGAACAACATCGAACAACGTATTGTTTCAAGATTTAAGATTACAAAACCAGGTCAACCTTTGAGGGTCTTGGAAGGCTAGGGTTGGGGTTCATCCCGGATTTCATCTTTTGGTTCATCCCCAACCAATCCTCAAGCAAGGTGCTTTCACCATCGCTCAATTTGATTCTTGATTGGTCAAGGCCCAATCTTTTCCACCAGATGCTATTCGGTGGCCCGACGCTGGCCGTGTCATGTGCCCGGCCGCAAGTCCATCAGGATCCACCATCCATCTGCGGATCAGTGCTAAGAAGACAATCAGGGAGCGCCCTCAACATCCCTGAACTATACTTATATAAAGATACATCACGATAACTGTAATTAGGATAGTTGAGGGCGCACCATCATCCCTATCCTCAGCATAATACTAAGTATCGATCCAGCCAGCCTCATCACCGTCGCATGGGCATCTCCCAGGCTCAGATTATTGGTTCCTTTGGACTCACCAGCAACGTGTGGAAGCTCGGAGTGCTCGACGAAGTGCTCGGGGGTTTTGGGTGGTGTTTTTCACGTCCGCTGACTGGGGGATGGAAGTCCACTTAGAGACATTTATTTTTTTTTGGGGGGGGGACGGAAGCCCAAGCCAAAGACTTTTTGGACTCAGCCAATGGTGTCGGGATGCTGCGTCCTCAACCTCAATGAGGCTTGTGAAGGGGACATTTTGGTGTGGCAGTCGGCAGTTACGTGTGAATCTGCGTTTCGGCAGATTCATGGTATCTTAAGTTCATCATCATGGATTCGATAGGATGTGGCAGGATGTGGCGGGTGGCACCCACGATTCGAAGGGAGGTGGCACCCACAATGGCCTGTGCAGGGAGGACATACGATGGACCTGTAGACAGGTGTGGGATCACTGACATGGGTCAAGCGGCGATCACACGAGCACACCATGTTCGACTGCCAGCTGCAGCATTTGCTGCACCCCATGGCCACAAGACATGCTTTTTCACCACAGCTGACCTCCGCTTTCCGCCCAAATGGTCTACAAACCCAAATATGGACCTGGTTGACCTGGTGTTCTCTGGTCAACACCGGTGCTTGACTGGTGCGGTGGGTTTCCCCCGTTGGCCCTTTCCCTTCGGAGCTCGCGAAGGTCCGTTCGCCCGGTCTGTTCGGAGCTCTCACCCCAGGTGATGTTCTCCATGGCCACCGACGCCGGGATGTCCCGAGAAACCGACGCGACGGACAGACGTCTTAGCGTTGAAGCACGAAACGCCCGACGTGGCAAAACAGGGACTTCAAAGAGTTGGGCGGTTGGTTTTGGGCCTCATTGAGGTGGGGAAACCTCAGCCGTGTTCTCATCAGCGCTTACAAGAAAGCTTTTAGTAAGTGTAGCTGCGAACACTTTCTCATTGGGTCGCAACCGGTGAATTCCGTTCCGCCTCTCAACCACGCGACGTGACTCCGTGACTCCGTGACGTACTGCGACGACGCTCCGAGGTGACCAATAGCAAGGACCGCGAGCTCATGGCCGGCGCCTACTTCGCACTGATGTGCGTCATGACGCTTGGGCTTCCTTTTTGTGAGATGGAATGGAGAGGGTCAAAGATGATGGGGTGGATGGAAGTGAATGCTGATGCGGATGCAATTCGCTGTCAACTATGTTGAACCTTCAAAGTCAACGCTGTCAACGCTCAATGACTCAGACCCGGAGGTTCCCGATTAGTACACCAGCTGCATTGGGGGTAGTACTGTACCTGATGTTTGACCCAAACCCATGTGAATGCAAAAAAGATGGGCAGCACATGAGGGGTTGGGGGACAACCATGTTGCTTCTTCGTGAGACTCGTGAGATGCTTTCCTATTCTGAGGACGGTTCATGGTAGGACTGGGTGTGTCTCAGGTTCTTTGTTGGCGGTCTCTTTTGATCAACTCCCATTTGGCATTGCTTCACTTGTGGCGGGGAAGCTAAAGAGATGGGAAGCTGAAGAGATGGAAGAAGCTCAACACCCCTCTCTTTAGAAGGATCTACAGACAGTGGAATGATCTCTGAATAAATCTGACTGTTGCACTATTTGTGCAACACGAGCAAGTGAACAACCAACCCACCTCTCTTTTCAGTTGGAACACATACAAAATCGCCCACGTGGGCCAAGCTTTCTGACGTTGTACGCCACGTGCGAAGCTTTCCTCCGGTGCATGTCGTACGCCACGCTGCTGTTCCCAGGAACGTCGTTCTGATCTCCATTCCGGTGCGGACCTGGGCGGCTCGCGCGGCTCGCGCGGGCGGGCGATGAGGACCTTCCAGGCGTGGCGTTCCGATCCCCCATTGGAAAAAGGAACTAGACTAGTCTACCCAGCCAGGGCCAGGAGGTTCTCCTTGTTTATATACAATGAACAGTTCAACACTCAGATGTTGATGCCATGTTAGTTGTTTGGAAATTCAATCTTGGCAGTCTTCATAGGTCTGAGGCAATGAGGGACAGACCACTTGGCTCTTGCCAAAAGTTTAGGTCGTGCGTAGCTTTCATCACTATCCTGGTGGAACATTTTGGGCGTGCTTGATCAAAGACTGATATTCCAACGCCAGCTGCAACTCAACCTTTGCATACCTTTGCACCTTTACAGATCTCTCGGGGCACTGAAGGGGAGTAAAAGATGGGCTGGCTGCAACTACGGCTACGCAGGCTTTTCAGAGGATGGTGGTTCCGCACATTCTTAGTCCTGTTGTCGGGGAAGGCCTTGATACATGGGTGAATCTAGGAAAGATGTGCTCCTTTCAGGCAGGAGATGTGCTCGGACATGCGAGCCATGTGAGATGTTCTCTCGCTCCCGATGAGTGATCTTCGGTCATGTGGGCGTGTTTGTCGCTCCAGGCTTTGAGGGGACGAACGGATCAAGAATGGGATCCGGTCTTCCAGACCCATCATATCGACCTGGGAGGTCAACCCGACCAGGGGTCCTAGGGCTCCGGTTGACCCACAGCCATATCCACTTGAGAGACTTGTCCTGCTGCAATGGTGTGTCTAGAGGGATTCTCCTTCAATCAAGTGGTGTTTACGGCCTTTACGGCTTCTCTCCGCAAAGTGATTCGATGACCGCATACACTGAGTATACTCCTACTGAGTCATCTCAGGTCCTCCTTATCATGGTCCTCAAAGTTGTCAACAACAACATGGAGTTGATCGTTTGCGTGCAGACCTGTCAGGGAGACTCAGTTTTCTCCGGAGAAGGAGCTGGACTTGGTTTGGTTTACCGAACTCCTTGATATATTCATGAAAGTGGACACCACCTGCTTGTAGAGGACAATGGTCATGCTTTCGGGGCCATTCCATCCACGTAGCTATGATACTTTCAAGGAGTGTCACCCCCCAAGTCGTGAGGGCCGGGACAAGGAGTGTCACCGTTCCCAAGCCTGACATCTCGTGGATTTGCCTTTCGGAGAGACCGAACCACTCTCCATGTCGATCCACATCGTCCCAGTGAGGCCTGACAGTGGGAAGCAAGGAAACCCGACATCTGCTGAAAGGAGACCCGACATCTCCATCCAGATGTTTCCTCGAAAAAGATCGGTGCCCAACGAAGAACAGCAAAGGGAACCCCGTCCAGTTGGTTGCCCGACGAGAGAGAGGATCCTGTCCGCAGGCGAGTTCGCCACAACCCAAATCAACTGACAAATATGGTATATTCAAATATGGTAATACTCATCTGAGTGCACTTGGCAAGAGGTTCGAAGGATCGAATCATCCAATCATGCGGGCCGCGGTGGTGATACGAGATACAGTTGTGGTGATACAGGTGTACTTCTTCTCAGTATTGGATGCCGGAATCTGCAGCTTCGTAGGTCACCAAGGGATGTAGATGAAGCAAAACCTGTTGAGCTTCAACTTTCTAAATTTTATATGTTTGAATAGAATTTGCAGAAGTGTCATTGGACAGACACCTTGATGCCAATTTACTTGGAGCAGGCGAAGCAAGATACCCTGCTTGAAGAGAATCTCTTTGATCCTCTTGAGCGGCGCTCTGGACGGAAGCAAAGCTGCGGACCTTCAATTCGTCCGTCCTTCATCGCTCATCGCTTCCGTCCGTCCTTCACCCACCGCCACGAACTGCCGTCCGTCGTCGCCTCAGTGGGCACGGTGCTCTTCTTCTTGGTGCTTTGCACCGTCCAGGTGCGGATCCCCGAACACACGGCGCTCGCGTCCGCGATGCGCTGCGTCGGTCGGTCCGGCCAGCAGATGTGGCGGGCGCGGACCGGACGCTGGTACTATGGATTCCCCATCCATTGCCCGAAGGTAAGAACCGAACCTCCAACCACTTTACCCGGGTGGACATTTTCCCCCAAAGATGCAAAAGGCGTCAAAACCGGGAGGTGGCAGTGAACCAGGTTGTGGATCACGTTCCAACCAAAAAGGTAGACCCCAGAAAAGATTACAGTGCTCAAGGAAGGGAAGAGGACCATATTATGCCTGTTGAAGACCAAGCACGCCAATGGCTCGTTCCCCAAGCAGGTTGCTCGCAGCTAAAGGGGGCTCGTATACGGCAATTGGCAATGGTTCTCCAAACAGGTTGCTCGCATTGTTCGTCACGTATTGGCGGACCTCGAAGCGCGCTCTCAAAGAAAACGTGTTCTCATATACCCAGATCTTCCAGCTATGCGTCTGCCGTACTTGGCTGGTTTTCTTGATGAACAGGCAGAAATGATGCATATATAGCTGGAAGATCTAGGTATGTTTGCTCTCCTTTGTGTGCATTTCATCATGAGCTATTCCTGTTGGGGACCTTTTGCCGGCACAACCACCTTTGTGTTTGGGGTGTCGGTTTGGCCCATGTTGCGGGTCAAGCATGGGCCGAGGATACCAGATTTGACCATGTTCGACCTTTCCAACAACAGGACAAGTTGCCTAAGGGCCTAAAGTCCATCAGCCGTGGGTTTCTTTATGTGTCTTTATTATTGATACAGACCCGAAGGCCTGAAGGTTTTCTCTTCGTCCCCGTCTTCAGCCAGTGTCCTGCTGTTCTCTTCGCCAGTGTCCCGGCCAAGCGCTTGCTGCGTGCAAGCGCTCGCGAGGCCGAAAAGGAGAAAGAGGCGCAGCATGATAATGAGATGTCGCGAGCTTAGGGGCACTTCTTGGGAGCGATGGCCTCCAACCCAAGAGCGCGATGGCCTCCTAATGGCGATGGCCTCCGCCTCCAACCTAATAGCGATGGCCTCCAACCTAAGAGCGCGAAGGCCTCCAACCTAAGAGCGATGGCCTCCAACCTAATGACGATGGCCTCCAACCTAATAGCTATGGCCTCCAACCTAATGGCTATGGCCTCCAACCCAATAGCGCGCAGCATGATAATGAGATGTCACGAGTTTAGGGCACCTCCCAAATCAAGTAGGGTCGACGTGCAAGCACATGCGGTCTCTTGTTGCACAAGTGTTTAAAACATCTAGTTAATAATGATAAAAACAGACCAGGACCCTCCAAGGGGTGTCTATTTATAGCTTGGGGGTCCTGGGCACGGTCTTTGGCCTTGGAAGAAGACAAGGAAGATGAGGCGTGCGACGGAGGCCACTGTGGTGACGCCCTCCATGGATTAGTAGATGGCTGCTGCCTGGCACCAACCCAAAACAAAAGTTCACCTCCAGTTTGCCAGGCAGGAAGATGCGCCACAGTTGACCTGTCACATACTTTCAGTTTGGCACTCCAAGTCTATCAGATCTTCACCACTATAGACTAGGAGCGATCGGACGCTACGATCAGGGCTCCTGGCCTTACTAGGAGCGATCGGACGCTACTAGACTATAGACTATAATGTACAGTATATGGATCTGACTGAGAGTGGCCATGCACTCACGTGCCCATCGTGCTTCACCTCTTTAGGTGGATGGCAGAGGGTGGCGGCGGCTCTGATGTGAATGAGAGTCGGGCATCTCAAGCGCTCGAGCTGAGCTTCCATGGAGCAGGTGTTCGATGGTCATGGCTACGAGGTGGAAGACATCAACTATTTTTAAGTATTTTTAATAGATATTTTAACTAGCATACAAAGAGCTTTACTCTAAGGACAGTTTGAGGCAATTGCCATCAATTTCCATGGCGTTTTGGCATCAACATCAGGGCTTTCTGAGAGATCATTCGCTTGTGCCAGCTCTGGCAACTTCTTTGTTTGGTCGAATAACTTCGACACCACAAGCTACCCTGTCAGAAGATAACCAACCTTTGGGGGGATTAGCTGGTTCCCCCACTAAACATGAGGTGGAACATGCTCCAACCGGTCTAGTCAGGGCTCTTCGGTGAAACGGTCCTACCCCGTCTCTGAGGTGAGCCGCCCGCCAAGCAGGACTGGAGGCCGGCGAGAATGGGAGTGGCGGGTCAGACAGGTGCGGCCAGGCCGCACCTGTCTGACATGAACATCTGCAGTTCAGGAGTCAGTCACGAGCGCAAGGGGTGGTGTTTAGATGCGTTGAGTCCCATGTTAAATGAGTGGAAGTGGATCATGGGCACTCCTAAGATCTCCTAACCTCCACGAGAGGGGCACTCCTTTGTGAAGCACGGGGTGGGACGATGTCTTCAGCGTGCGCAGAGGTCCGGGACAGGCTGCACCAGCTTGCCGTTCGGCCGTGCGCGGGACAGGCAAGGCATTTGTGGAATCCTCCGAGGCGCGGCGCAGCTCTTCGCAGCTTCCTTCGTTCGTCCCAACTCGGTCGACTTGATGGCGGACCAGCTATGCTGCCCCACTATCTATATCCTATTATGGTATAGACATTGGTAGACCTTCAATTCAAGTGAATATAATTCGAGACTAGATGCCTCAACCATGGTGCTAGTCCATAAATTTTGGCTGAGGGGCCTGGGTCACCACCCCAGAGGCAAATGATTTGGGTGTCGCCCGTGGATTTCCCGACTGAGAGGAACGGATCTCCACTTTTCCTCGTTGAATGCCAGCGCGACTTCTCAGACTTTCCCATTTCATCTTGACCTCGGCCCAACTGGTTCAGGGCTTGTGCAGCCTTTCTTCTTGGCTGGGGCACTGAGTTCTGCGCCATGTTGAGCTCCGCACGTATGGGAAGCCAGGTGTCAGGGATTTTGGAACCATCTCAAGAAGGTGAAGCTGGCAGGACCTAGACCTAAGGATCTACTGAAGTTCCCCCAACGACTTGGTGCGCTCATGAAGCGCCTCCTTGGGCGCTTGGTGCTTGCCGAATGTGATGACCGGTCCCGGATAGCCGTACAAGGCCCGTCAAACCCACCCAGCCAGACGTAGACCGTTTGAAGCACGGAGAGTGGGAGCTCGACAGGACAGGACGGTGGGTCAACTCGGCTGTTTGGGGTTTAGCAATGTTTACCAATGTTTACCAGGGCAACATGTTCCGAACTAATTGTTCGTTTTGGTTTACCATGGTTTACCCATGGTTTACGAAAATGAGTTCCTGTGGCAAACCTGCAACACCTGCAAACCGTGCTTCCCCCAAAAAGACCCCAGACCCCCCCAGACTCTTTCCACTCGAACTTCCCTTTTGGAGAAGCTCCTGTTCCCTTCGCAGCGGGACGCCCTTTAGGCCTTTGGACATCGTCGGCTCCGCCGACTCTGTCCGGGCCGACAGGTCGCACGATCGGTGCGACGGCCGACACCATGGTGTGGGACTTGCAGTACCCATGCTATGAATGACTTCAATTCCTTCCATGTATAGGTCAAAGGTGTCACGGTCTGTGGCCATGTGGACACAGTTGCCCTTTCTAGTCCAGTCTCAAAGTCTAAACTGCGACCAAGAACCCCCCTGGTGACCTGAGAGTCTCATCAAAACTGTGGACATGCTGAGGATTGAGTTTGGATTGTTTAACAAATGTTAGGAGTACACGTTTTTGGACCATCCGTTTTGTTGTGTTTTCCTGTCTGAACTACTCCCTGTCCGGGCGGCCCGATAAAACCCATGAACACATCTTTTTTGGGGGGTTCGCGCACAGGATGAAAAAATAGGAAACAATGAAAGGTGTTCACTTACAAAAACCACGCGTTTTGCTAGGGAAGACCAAGTTTTTGATGGTTTGTGAGGCCCCTGCTAGGATCTCGAAGAAGCTCTTCAGACTGTGCCTGGAACGCACTCCAAGCTTAGGCTTTGCCTATATGGGAGTTGATCGAAAACCTCGTGCAAGGAGTTTTATCTAAAACAGCCTTTCAGATGTTGTTAGAACCATCCGCGAAAGATTCGCGATGAGGTTCGCGAAAGTATTTTTTTTTGTCCGCGAAAGATTTATCGAAGGTCATCGCTTTCATATGTTTTCCTTTCTACCGGACTGACAAAGAATAGAAATACAAGGCAATCCTCCGGCAGAGCCGGTGGGAGCATACGCGAAAGCTTCGCTGCGCAGGGATCTCAGACACATAAAGAAAAAACCATATCCCCTGTGCTTTCCTGATGCGGGCCTTCGACACTGTGGTGCCGCCTCGCTGGCTGCCGTGGCACCAAGTCCTGCCGGAACTCGCAAGTGGGCCTGACACGTGGTTCGGGGTCAGGGGGCGAATTTGTGCATGAACAACCACGAACGTCCAGATGTCTGGACCCTCGTCCAGCTGACGGGCGAGTCATACGAAACTGTCTGCGCGAACACGACCGTCGCAGACATAATTCGGTTGACTGTCCGGAGCTCAGCCAGTTTGTTTCCACGGCGGTTTAGACAGCTTGCGTGACAACGTGCCCAGGCCATGCGGTCCACGAGCACAAGCAGCTGGTGGGGTGTTGGCTCCGCCTGCGGCTAGCGGGTGAGGTCGAGATGGAAAGCCCAAAGGCGCAATTCAAGAAGGCTGGCTGGGGACATGGATTTCGGCACTGGCAGGAAAGACAAAAGCGACTTGCGGAGGTCCGCAAGGTCGCGAATGCAGAAGCGAAACGGCTGCCGGTGCAAAGTCGCCAGGGGCGTCCGGCAGGTGAGGGGCAATTTTGCGAGCATCCGCTTTTTGTATCCCTTCTTGCCTCCTGTGCACCACCCTAGGGGCTCACAGAGGATACATCACTGATGCATCTTCTCGGACGCCCTTGGTGGCAGGGCTATGAGAAAAAGAGGAACAACTCCAAGATTTCCGGCCGCAATAAGCGGCGCCGTCACCGGACGTCGCAAGACCCCGAGGCTCAGCGCGGAGAGGTCAAAGTAGCAAGCCGCTTGGGGAAATTGCAGGTGCAAGCTCGGGTAGCAGCAGCAAAAGAAAAAGACCGACTGCGAAAACGGAAAGAGCGCCAGGTGGAGAAAGAGGCCGGCCCGGACATGTTCGAATGCGATGGCTTTGAGTGCCTCTGACACTGAGGCGACGAAGCTACTCCTGAAAAAGCTTCGCAAGACGGCAAGAACTGCAGGGAAGGACAGAAATTGCCGCTCGAATTTGTATAGGCGCGCACAAATCTTGGCACCGAGGCGTCGGGCGGCTAGGCCGCAAGAAATCTGCTAGTCTAAATAAGGCCTAAGCGTTGGCTCAGTAAAGGGTGCGGTTTAGTCTTGAAAATGGTGTGTTTTGTGCCGCTCTCCGAAGATGCGCAGACGTGGATAGAGGTATGAGAGGTATGGCCCAAACGTCGGCGACGCTGGTGGAGATCCCACTCTCGACATCGCGCCCCAAGCTGCATCACCCTGTGTTGGTAGCTGGCACGAGGATTGGGTTGAGTTGTGCCTGATTCTATTTGGCACAATTGTCGCACAGATGCTGCAAGTGACCCTGAGTAGGGAACGCTCAACCTTCTACTGGGGTCATGCTGCAAGATGTTTGTCCCTATTTTGTGATACTATGACATGTTCCGGCTCATGTTAGCTAGACATGGTTGTAGGACCATGCTTCGCGATGAGGCCGCGAAAGATACGCGAAAGATATCTTTGTTTCCGCGAAGAACGGCCGTTCCAGGATGAACAAATATTGATCAACCATCATATAGAAGGGTGCCGTTACCTCTGCCACTGCCACTCGACACCAACGTCTCTCGCGCTGTCTCGCGGAAAGGCCTCGTCCGGGTCGCGCCCGCGGCCGTTCGACCCGACCGAGGTCTGACGACCTTTCTGCTGGGCTTCGGTGGAAGTCTGGTGTCGGGAGTCCGAGGGGGGCATTCGATCCAGACGCACGAGCGATCCATCACCGATGGTGGCACCGAAAAAGACGTGAAGGGATACATCGGGAATCGATATAGTTGTAATATAGATATGAGGTGTGTAGTAGGTGTGTGTAGCATTGTTTTTCGCATGTCCATTGGCTTCGCATCATCTTACATCGTTTTATGAGATGTTATCATCACCATCGTGGGTTCAGGTCTGCCCTGCTGCCACTGAGGAACGACATTGGAGGACAGTTCTTCAACCAATGTTTGGGCTTGATCCAGCATCCCGACGAGAGCAAGGTAGTGCCCTGGCAGAAAACCATCCTCCCCGTGGGGTGCGTGCGTCGTGGTCATCGTGGCGGTATGGAGGGGGTGTGACGCCGAAAGTCACTGCAACGCAGAGGGGGCTCGGATCCAAAAACCATCTCAATCCTTCCAAATGCTCAGGAGGTTCAGATTTAGAAGGAGAGGTACTTCAAATCTAAAGAAGGATTGAGACTTTCAGAGTGGGGTTCAGATTTATTTTGCACTTTGGAGAAGTGAGAGGGTCTGAAACTTGGATCGGTTTCCAGGTTTGCAGCTTGTTTGGAGCGAGGGGTGCACTTCTTGTGGTGTCTGTAAATAAAAGCGCGCTGGGTGAAGACATGTCTGTTTCATCGACAGAAGACTAAAAGACATAGCATACAATCAACGCCTAAACCCCGGAGCTTGCACTGAGGGGGGAACTATAGATCTAGAGAATCCTCAGGAAACGTGTGCCTTCCTCAGTCCAATCTCTCTTGACATCCTCAAACCATGCGTCAACCCATCGTCAGATGGATGTTCATGATCATGTTTCAATGTGTTTCAGCAATGATCCTCAAGAAACCTTGATATTCCTTCATCCAAGCTCTTTTGGACATCCTCAAACCATGCGTCATGGTCCTGCTATGTCCTGCTGCATTCGCTCTCCACCCACCTCATCCGCCTGAGGTCATGGTCTCGATCTGGTCGATGCTGCCAGGCCGCGGGTGACGCGAAAACGCGCGCGGTGGTGGCGGAGTCGCTAAGGGGTCGCTGATGGCTGGGAAAGTGAAGGAACTGCCAACCAGCTGCCAACCGCGGTGAGAATCAACAAAGCAACTTGAAACACCAACCAACCTCCCCTTCCACCAACCTCCCTGCCCTCGTCTGAAGACGTGATTCCGATGGCTTGGACGTCTCCAGGTCAGATCATGGCCATCCCTGGGAACATCATCACCGGGCCACTGTGGTCGATGTTTAGCGACGCGTCCGATGCACGGGGCGATGTTTAACGAAAAACCATGGCCTAAGCGGGATGGGTCTTCAGAATGAGCTCTTTTCCGTAAGGGATATATAGAAATATGTATGCAATTATATATATATAGTATATAGTACCATGATGTACCATGGTAGAATGCCATGGTACCATATCACTCGAAGTATCTGATACATCGATAGACTCGCCCCAACGTGGCACGTCGAGAGACGTGTCGAATTCCATGTCCATCGTGGCACATCGTGCCATCGATCGAATGGTCTCTAGTGAGGACGCTCTCCCTGTAACACTTTGGGTTTATTGTGGTTTGTTGTGAACTTACCTGTAACAGGACCTGTAAGCAAGCAAATCACAATTTTTGGACAAGGCCTGCAACCTAACCATCATCATCCACTGTTACAGGTTGTAGGATAGACCCAAGACATGACCATCTAAATGGTGGCCCGACTCACACGGGCTGCGCACGGGCTCCGCCATGTCCGGCTGAGGTACATTGCAAAACAGTCACTGGCCTCAGGAGGATGGGGGTCAGTCAGCAGAGGAGCAGTCCTTGAGTCCTCAGCAGGAAGCAGTCCTTGGTTGAGTCAAGAGATGATGGTCATCAACTGGGCCTCGGGAGACCCAAGATCTGAAGGATTCCCAAAGATCCGATCAAACCGTTTTCCCATTTTGCAGGAGATGTGGACAATCCATAAAACCATCACGAGCATCGGTGGCCGATGAAGGTCTTGTTTACAGAGTCTACTGCACTTCAATAGCCGCACTATGCAAGTCTACGCAGTAAGTGTACTTATTGGATCTTGTTGGTTTCTAACATGTTCTAAGAGTTTCCAACTCCTGTTTCGTTTGGCGTTTCGCCCCAGCAAGCAGACATAATATATTTTTTGCGTCGTCCCAAAAAGAGAGGATCTCGTTCCGTGCCGCTGCTAAGCTTCTGATTGCCACTTGGCCACCTGGTGTTTTTGCTCGTTTGCCACGCATGCAGCGCATGTGCTCCGAGTCACGCCGGATGAGGGGTTGCTTGCGCTTTGTTGGAAGAACATCGGCAACACTCTACGAAGAGTCACTAATCAGTGTGCACGCCTTTTCTATGTCTATAGACCTGCACGTTGCATGCTGTTGTGTTGTGTCGAATCAGCTGATCCCAGCAGTTCCCCGCTTCCTCGCTTCGAAACACCCCTGAAACACCCCGGCTTCTGCTCAGGGCCGGACCCTTGAAAGTGCTCCGCATGTTCCTTGGGTGCAAGAACCGAGGTTCGTGGTCCGAAACGACAGCAACAGCGCGGGTCTTCACCGTTGCATCGGGTACCGCCCTACGCGGGCGTGTAGTAAGGCGGGCGAGAGAGGAACGCTGATGGCTACCCTTGTTCTGGGAAAATTCATATGGGCTTTACCAAAGTTGTTTACGGCAATTACATGCACTGTTTGTTTCTCCAACGTCAGTATTTAATTACATGTGAACCAGATAGGCCCCCTCCAAATATGGGATGCCATGTGATTTGCGACAAAAGTAGTCTGAACGAGATACTCCGAGATAGTGTTGTAAACAGTAAACATGACAAGATACATGATCTCCGATCTATTAAAACAAGATAGTCGACAAATAGATCGCACGTGAGTGAGTTTTCTGCTTTACACTAAATTCCGCCGCTCATGTCAGAGGTTCAGGCGACTCCGTCTCTTGGTGATTCAACATGGTGAGGGTTTACGAGAGATGAACGATCGAGGAAAAGCCGATGAACGGTGTGTTCCGGATACCAGCAACAGTCGGTAAGGATTGTATATCACTATTTTGGGGAAGAGTCCATCCAGTGGGCGCTGGTAATGGGATATACCGATATAACCCAACCTCTATAGAGGAAAGCCTCGAATTGTTTAAGAAAACCCTGCTTCCCTTACGACCAAGGAGTCCTTCAAAAGCTATTATATAGTTGGATTGTTCAGTCCTGGTTGCTTGCTGCACTAATTGTGTGTTTTCGGGGTATATGAGCTATAAATGCACGAATTTGGTTTCTGCATGGACAACAGGTTTGTACTTGTATCAGAAAAGGATGCAACTTGGATCAAACGCAGCATGCAAGTTGACCCAAACTCCCAAGAAAACGTGAGAGGTGTCACTCCTTGCTCGCCACCAGGTTGATCCCAATCGCCGCGCTGTTGGTGGCAGACCGGGGCACCCAGAGATCGTTCCGTGGCGCTGTCTGAGGATTGAAGACCTTCAAGCAATTGAAGGCCTCCAACCTAATAGCCATGGCCTCCAACCCAAGAGCGCGAA